TGAAAATATTCGAGTATCGTGCTAACTTTACTAGCATCTGCCATTCGTAGGCTCTTTTCTCAAATCAGATTTAATTGTCAAACTAACCTGAAATTGATATTTTGTTTATAAACGATGTAGGCTCTTCCAAAATGGAAACATTCAGTGGTTGCTCAAACTTTTTCTTCAATTCTTCTAACAACATCTTCAAATTGTTTAACTGAATTTCATTGAAATCACCATCGTCTCGTATTTTTCTCAAGCCAGTAATGAATTGATTCAATTTCTTCTTTATTTCAGCAATATTATCGTCTGTCGATTTAATTAATCTTTGTCGGCAGTCTTCTGCCGTTTGCTGAATCTTCATGATTGAATCGCGTTCCCATGCATTCACTTGTTGTATTAATGGACTATGATTGATATCTTGCTGTTGCTCACTTATACTTTGTTGGAATGTATCACAATCAGTGACAATTTTTTCTAGTTCTACTTCATGTTCTTGACGGTGTTTTGATAAATCCGAGAAACAAAATTTTTCTGAGCAACCGTCGCATGAGTGTAAGTTGGATTTCTCTTTTTTACATATAAAACATTGTTTGGAATTTATCGATGCAGTTGCCATATCTTGAATATACTAACGTTGATAGGTGTATTTTTGAGACTGTCAACGAGAAGTTTCAAAAAACAAATTAATTTTTCTCATGATTTCATACATATATCTACAAAAAAAGTAACATGAGTCGAGGTCAATAAACATCAGTGGGAAATAAAACAATGAAAAAGAAAGATTTTTTCTGCATAGGGGTCTCACTTTATTTGTTTTTGCTTTATAATAAAGAATAAATCGAGATAAAATCTTTGTTTTTATAACGTTAAAATGACTACATCTTTTCGGCAACTTGCAAAAATATATGATACCGCTGTGCGTAGAAAAATTTTAATTAATGTTTTCGTGTATCAGCTTCATTTTTCAATAATATCACATGTGTATGGGTGTGATTAAGTTAAAAATACAGTCACACCCACAAACCCACACCCACACCCTCAAGGTTTAAATTAATGCGGACAACTATCAAACCATACGATCAGAATGTTATTTCACCATCGTTCACTTGTGAACAATTATTCACTATCGAACATGCTCATACGCAAGTAGCCTATCTGATTTCGGCACAATTGCTCTATATTGAAATAATTTATAAAAAAAAATGTTACCTACACTGCCCAGGTCGTTCAATCCCAGTATAGGAACCGATCGAAACCTACCCGATCCGACAAGGAAACCAACGATATCCTATCGGATTTCACAAGGATTTAACGCAGTTCCTATCGGATTTCGGGTTCAGGAATTGATGTTGGATTCTCAGGGTCGGATTCCAATAAGTTCCTGAATACAGAATCCTACAGGATCCTAATCTAGGAAAGTTTCCAAATCCGAGAATCCAATTACCGAGAAATTTCGATTGTATTCAAAGCACGGATGGACCCAAATTCCCATGAAATCCACATCGGATACCAAACTAGTTTCCTAAGGAACTCCGACGGTATCCGCAACTAGGATTCATCCATATTCCGATCGGTGATAGTTCCGATAAAAAACTCATAGGAAACTGTGAGAGTTTGACGAGGTCCCACCGTATCCTTTAAAAATCCCACAATAGTATCCCAATACGGATACAACGAACAAAACCCATCGGATTTCTCCAAGGTTCTATCGAGTCCAACGAAAATCTTCTAATATCCGACATTCGGATCTACTCATACGATGGTTATGATTATCTGCACATTCGGAGTTCAAAAGCGCTCATAAATCTCTGCCCAAATCCACACTTTTCAGAGCATCCCATACAAAATTCGACACCAGTAAATATAAACCCGGCTGATTTTCACTTTTTATATCACCAACTTATACAGAGCTCATGAAAAGACAATTCTACACTATACTGATAAAAAAAGCGCCGAATGATAAACGTTTAAAGCGTTTATGAAAATGCAACTTATGATATGAAATAAAAAGGTTTATCAAGTGAATATACCGCGTNATAAAGCGCCGAATGATAAACGTTTAAAGCGTTTATGAAAATGCAACGTATGATATACCCTTTTCTACCGTTTAGCAGCATGCGATAAATCCTTTTATCTACCCATCAAAAGACGAAATAAAAAGGTTTACCAAGCGAATATACCGCGTGTCGAAAGGTTTATCATAGCGTTTATATGACTCAACAACTTTAAAAGGGTGCATCATACGTTGCATTTTCATAAACCCTATCAAAGGTGTTAGAGTACTCTAACAAATTATTTATTTATTTATTCTTATACATTCTTGTTTCATTTTTATACGTTATGTATTTCTTATATGTGCAATCCAACTCGAGATGCGCATACGTCAATCGTTCTTTTTCATTCTTTCTTTCATCTCTCTGCATCTCTCTATTGTGTCTTCTTTCCCCCCGTGCGTGACGACGTAAATAATGGCATCGTTTCTTCGACTGGAATTTAAGTGCAATTATAGAATGATGCACCATCATCTTTATGTACAAAATAGTCTAGTTGAAGAAGCAAATGCCTTTTCTTCCTTTGTTTCTTCGCTCTCTCTCTCTCTCTCTCTCTTTTGTGTGTGTGTGTGTGTGTGGGTTGTATAGTATAAATAGGAAAAAAGAATAATAAAGAAAAGATTAAGATTCAGATTTGGAATTGAAAATAGGAAATCTGTTGTTGATTGGTTAAATAGAAATAGAAATTTCTATTTTGTGAATTGATTTAAGTTACAGCGGGGCCTCTGTAACACTTTCTATCTCAGTTTTTTCAATATCTTCATATTAAAAACAAAAATGCATGTTTATCTTTCCTCATTTTTGCCGTCATTATTATCTACACTGCTACATTGTAAAAATCAAACACATGGCTAATGTAAAAATATCGATGATCGAATCACACTACTTACCAGTCGATGTCAAAATGCTTATTTTTTAATGTGAGTATACAAGAGGTATTACTTTGTATACATAGCCGTTACATTTTTTTTCTTTTTTTCTAACATAAAATGTTTACCTGAGTCAATGAAGTGTGTCTCTAATTTCACTGCTTCTTAATTTCGCATATCAAAACATTACTTCATGTACACCGCCAGTTCGCCAAATAAGTGCTTCATATTTTTCTTTCAATTGTGACCAGTGCAAAAAAACGATGGGCATCTTAGTACAGAGACTGGATACTGAGTACAATTACTCAGTATTTTCGTACTTTTTACTTAAAAATCGTAAGTACAACGTATACTTTAGAAGTTCAAGTAAATTTACTTGTACTTCTCGAATTTACTTAAGTACCGATGCTTAGTACAAATTTACTTAAGTACCGATACTCAGTACAAATGTACTTAAGTAATTGTACTTGAGTAAAAGTCCAAAGTAAACTAGTAAGTAACAAGTATTTTCACTTGTACTTACTGTACTTGTACTTGTCCAGTCTCTGTCTTACTATTTCTTTTCATCAAGTTAGCGCGTGGGTGACTGTATAAAATAACATCAACCAAACACAGACCCTCACACCGACACTCTAAGAAACCATTTTTGACGCAAAAGTAAAATAATCAACCCCTGTGCGTAGAGTAATAAACCTTTCCGGTCAAACAATAGAACAATCGATCTCACTACGTAGAATAATAAACCCTTTCGATGAAAGAGCGGAAATATCAACTCCTGTACGATGAACACTGAACTTCTTTCAACAAAAGAGAAGTAGAATCAACTATCAACCGACGAGAAAACTATCCATTGAGATGCTAAGGTAGATAAGCCGATATTTGTCAGTAGAATGAAAGAACCTGTCAATGAAGAGGCATATAATCGAGCATTCACGTACAATAATAAATTCTTTTTATTAAGATGTAGATAAGTCAACTATTGAGCGTGGAATACTAAATCCTTAGCAGGAAATGGTAGCAAAATCTACCCATAGGCGTAGAATAATGAACAGTTTCTGAGAAGGGTAGCTTACTCTACGCAGAAAGACAGAGTGATGTACCCTTTTAACGAAAAAGTAAAATAGTAAACCCGATAACGAAGAATAAAATACCCCTACCTTGAAACTGAACAACAACCTACTATCATCCATTGACGGATATAATTATTCTTATTTTAAAATCATAGAATAATGAATCCTCATGTGCCCATCGTATACCCATTGAGTTTTCATAAACCCTTCGAGTAATAAACGCTAAAAGGGTTCATCACATCGTAATAAAACCTGCAAGGGTTTAATGGAGACTTTTTTAAGTGCAGGGGGAAATCATTACCCCGATTTTTTTATCAGTGTATAAATGGTGCTTAAACATTAAGCACAGTTTGAAAAAGTATCAAGGTCTTAAAGATGTATACTTTAAAACTGTAACTTTAATTAAAGTGGACACAATTTTTATACCTTAACAGAATAGTGTATCATAATCGTCGATCTACTCAAAAAGGAACGATGGCACATAACTTTAAACACTTTAACTATAACTTTAATTTTTACACAGTGAAAGTGGACGATATTAAAGAAAGCGACAATAAAAACACAAAAAAATCTGTCAACTAAAATAATAGCATCACCGGTATTTTGGCAAAAAAAGCGAATGCACAAACTTCTCTGAATTTTTATTGCCGATTTCTTTGATTCAGTCAACTTAAACTGCTTCAAAAGTAAAGTTGAAGTTAAACTGTTCTGAAGCTGTGAGCTATAGCTCGTAATAAGTAGATAGAAAATGATGATACACTATTCTGTTAAGAAATAAAATTTAATCCACTTTAATTAAAGATAAAGTTTTACAGTGCCCTAATTTAACATCAACATTTAAACTTAGAAATACTACTAAAACTTTAATTTCTAGAACAAAGTTAAAGTCCCCGCCCTATGCTGCACACAATCAATAACGCCATCTTCCATCACAATCCTTTCCTCACCTTCCGATAAGCGAAACCACTCTCACTAACATACATTACTCAAAACGCAATTCTAGCAACACTAATCTTCCAAAACTACCTCATTCATCTATTTCCCGGTGTACCAAACCGCATTAAAGCGATTTTGATTCTCACCAATTCCGTGAACAACCCAGAACCTGTTACACAAAACAACGCAATGCGATGAAATCATTCATGATTGCCACAATTCACCGAACACACAACACACAAAACACAACGCACCGAGTAGTTTTCCGTGTTGACTTTCATAGACAACCAGTTCTATCGTAGACAAGAGCAAAGCCTACTTGCAACACTTCCCATCCAAATGCGCATCAATACTGCCATAAAACACCAATAAAACATAACACCCTCTACCAGTCATTCTGAACAATAAACATCAATTGTCACTTGCCAAAAAAATGGCTAAATGAATCCAGCAACGAACCAATCAAACTTAACCAAAGAACTTCTCTCACCCGCTTAGATCCATGTTGATTTTACACAAATACTTTACCCAATAACACAGAAGTATACCGCACATCAATTACCGATTCCACATCCACCATTGCGCTCACTATTTTCAAAAGCAACTAAACCAAATACCATCATCAAACAGCACACACTAAATACCTAAACAACGAGCATTCCGAGTCCTCATCATTTTCCGATGACACTACCAATGACGCTAAAAACAAATAACCGAAACTACCAATCCCTCGCCCTAAGAGACTGAAGTTCATGAATATCTACATTTCATCACTCTCCTGGTGAACATTATGGTACACTCTGTTATTTTTCCTCAGAACGAATGATGACAATGACGATGATCATTATGATCATGATGAAAATCCAGGTGCTAGACTTTGAATTATTAGGACTACCACAATGATGACCATGGTGATTTTGATGTGATGATTAAGATGATGATGTGAATGTTGGCGCTAGACTTTGAGTTATTAGTGCTACAACAATGATGTTCCGTCGCAGATAGCGTGGCAGTCTTTAAACAAGATGATAAAAGAAAAATAAAAGTAAATTATTGATTGTAATAACAGTTTTCTTTGTGAAATGTTCTCGTGTATTGAAGGAAAGAAATACTTTGTGCAAAGAATCAGACGCATCGATAACCCATCGATGTGTGTCGATCTTCTAAATGCCAATTTGGAATCCGTTTATTGGAATTTGTGTAAATGAAAATAGTAGAACACTATTGAATATTCAGCAGATCACTTAGATACCAAATTGGAATACAATTAGCGGAATTTTCATGGGTTCCGACAGTTGAGTATTGTCAGATGTTCACAGAAATTCAATTCATTGTTTTGTTATAGATTCGAGGACCTGGAATCCCATAGGATTATCCCGGCTCGAAAATACTCTCAAATTCAGGTCGAGTTTGTTATGAGATTCATCGACGTGTTTAAGTAGGAATGCAATTTTGGGATCTACGTTGGTTCTGATATTAGAATATTATCGGAAATTCAGTGGATCCAATAAATACCCAATGAAAATCCAATAAACGAAATCTTTATCGGTTCCGACAGTTGGATATCCTCGGAAGTTTCACGGAATCCGACTGATGGCTCCGGCATTGATTCTTCGACCCGGAATCCAATAGAATTGTATCGGATGATAGAATATTATCAAGTTCCTATAGGATTCGTTGTCGGATTACTCGACCTGGGATCCTTAAATGCCGTTTTCTTAGTAATACTTCCAAGCAAGTTTTCTATTTATGCTCGGTTATCAATCGCGTTATCCATGAAAATCATTTCGAAGCTATAAAATGTGAAGTCTCTCAGCTAGATAGTTTTCAATAGCAACGTTCTACATGACTAAATTCTTTTACTAGAGAGTTGGCGACGCTAACGTCCCGTTACCTTGTTGTTTAGTATGTGTATAAAAAGTTTTCTCCTTTTTAACGCAAAAAGGGTTTGCAAAAGTTTTCATTCAACATTTTTACTGATCTCCATGCACTAAATATTGTTATTTATGAATGCAATCGAAGAGTTTTATCCGAACTTTAAAATACTTATATTTTACGACCAGACGAAAAAACAAGATTTACCTAGTAAATGTATACAATGTAAAAATTAACTTTTTATCATCATTCTAGATATAATGTTCGATTATCGTTCTCGTAAAATTCTATCATTGATTTTAGTTGGTCTCATTCTTCTTTTTGCAATATATGTTCTTCATAATGCCTCCATAATTCAAAATTTTACTAGAAAAATCCGAAAAGGAATATTTACAACATCATCTACTCGTTCTTATTCTGGTCGAAAATCACTGACTCCAACATGGCCTTATTCTGGACCATTTTTGAATAGTGCACCAAGTGAAGCATTTGTCACATTTAGTAATAATAATCCAAAGTATCTTGCTCTTCTGACCAACGTACTCGATACTGTTCATCTTTTTTCAACACGCCCTATTATAGCCTATGGAGTCGATGTTGATCTAGATCTTGATACTGTCAAATATCCACGACTAATCAAACGACGTTTAAGTCAAAAAGATTGTGGACCATCCATTTATTTTTGTAAAATCTATGCGATTGTGGAAAGTCAAGTTGATTATGGAATATATATTGAAGCTGATACTTTAGTTAATTGGAATGTTGATATTCTTTTCGATGTTCTTCATCGATGGCCGTATCCATTGCCGCTTGCACCTCGTCATCCTGATGATCCTAATAACTATTTGAATTTTTTAACTCAATTTAAACTTGGTTTAAAAAATCGTACTACACCATACATACATGCTCATATATTATGGAATTATCGCGCGTATCCATTTCTTCAACGAGCTGTCAATCTGTTGCGTCAAGGCCAATTTATGGGTGCTAACTTTGACGAAACAGCTATCAATATTCTTCTGTGGCAAGCTAAATCAAATCATACACTATGCAAAGTAGATCCATATGTTAGTTATTTGTCTTCTTATGAATTGAGCGAACAGATATGTAAAACATATTGTCATACGGCATACATTCTTATTCATGGTGCTAAAGATCCAACAGACATGGCTAATATAATAGTACGATTAAAAAACCATACTGGATCACCATTTGTTCAAACTCCTAAGCATGGATTCCATTATTTGAACGAGACGCAATATACATGTTGTTATCCAGATAGTCATCCATCGTCTATGCATCCACTTCTATGTGAACATCGAATATAGTACTACTAATAATAGCATGAAAATATGCTGTTTTAGAAAAAAAACAATGCATGTGGGATAGAAACAGTCTTTAGTATTTATATCAACTGAAACCGAGAAATTTGTCGATTATCTTAGATCATCAGTTTAACTATAAAACTAGCAGTAATCGAAAAGTAGACCATGATTTTGATATTTAACGAAGATTTTTCTTTCATCGGATTCGCCCTAAAGTTTAAAATTAATATGTGTATTATTGTTGCTCTGTCATGTGTACGCGGAGCTTTTATTTTCTAAGTATTTTTAATTTTCAATTCTTTGTTGCTGAAATCTATGGGAAACTGAAACCTATGGCAACTAGAATTTCGACAATGTCCAATCTCCACTAGAATTTCGACAAATGTCCAATTGTACCGGAAATTGGACAAAATTGTCGAGTTTCCGAATTTGTCGAAATTCTTCAGGAATTACGACAATATCAATTTTTGCTGATGATTTTATTGTCCAATATCCGATGAAAATTGGGCAATCTACATCATACACTGAAAACAAAATAGCACCACACGGAACCAAAGCGTTTTCATCCTCAGTGCGAAACTCATGAAAGGTTTCAAATTTTCACACTGAACTTAAAAAGCGTTTCGAGGTTTGAAACGAATTTTGAACCAGTTTTAGGCTTCGTAGGCTTTCCACAATACCTTCGAGAAAAGTTCGTGCACTATTTATAATCATTTTGAGACTATCTTGGAGTTTTACGAAACCCGTTTTAAGGTTTCGAATTTGTTTGAAAAATGGTTCCGTGTGGTGCTATTTTTTCCAGTGTAGTTGAAATTAATATGTTTGGTTGAAATACACATTCACTCGTTTGTCAGTGAATAGAAAGCAAAGAAGTACTATGTAATTATACAAAGTTTCACCTGAAAAAGCTTGTTAGCGCAGCCCCTTTGGGGCTAATATATGGATCTCACATATATCCCTTCGGCTTACTAAAATAATTCCAAATAGTTCATCTGAAAAATCGACCTTGATTTCCAAATCCTATAATTAGGTTATTGCCTATTTGCTTATGTCTGTAATCGAATATTAAGTGTTAGCTCGTATATTTAACAATGACAGACACTAGTTTCTATGGTCTGTAATGGGCAAACATTGCTGTTTTCGTGTTGTCTGTAATTAAAAAAGGAAGAAATAGCAGTCTAATTAGTCAAGCCCCTAATTAGCACAATTTTAAGCTCATTAATGTCTGTAATGGTGACGGAGGAGGGGGGGGCGGGGTGTGGGTGTAGTAACAAATAGTCAAACCCACGCGCAATCCGACACCCGCACACGCTTGTTTCGAAAAATGTACGTCATATATAGGTTAGGAATATCTCCTATCTAAAATTATGTTTCTTTCATTCAATTTCTTATGTTGGACTTATTTATATACAAATCGTATACATTGTTTCTTTTTGCTCTTTTTAGCGCTTCTAATAATAAAAAAAGAAAAAGGTTTTCATGTGAAATTTTGTATAATCACATAGTAATTTTTAGCTTTTCTATTCACTGACAAACGAGTGAATGTGTATTTCAACCAAACATATTAGTTCCAACTGTCATGTATATTGTCCAAATTCCATCGGATATTGGACAATAAAATCATCAGGAAAAATTGATATTGTCGTGATTCCTGAAGAATTTCGACAAACTCGGAAACTCGACAATTTTGTCCAATTTCCGATACAATTGAACATTTTGACGAAATTCCACTGGAAATCTGGCATTGTCGAAATTCCGATGTCCAGATTCCACTAAACCTTCACTTCACTATTGGCATATAATATTAGTAAGTACTACCCAGGTCGTTCAATCCCAGTATAGGAACCGATCGAAAACTATCCGATCCGACAAGGAAACCAATGAAATCCGATAGGATTTCACAAGGATTTAGCGCAGTTCCTATAGGATCCCGGGTTCAGGAATTGATGTTGGATCCTCAGGATCGGATTCCAATAAGTTCCTGAATACAGGGTCCTAATCTAGGAAAGTTTCAAAATCCGACAATCCAATTACCGAGAAGTTCCGATTGTATCCAAAGCGCGGATGGACACAAATTCCCATTGAGGAAATTCCCATGAAATCCACATCGGATACCAAACTAGTTTCCTAAGGAACTCCGACAGTATCCGCAACTAGGATTCATCCATATTCCGGTCGGTGATAGTTCCGATAAAAAACTCATAGGAAACTGTGGAAGTTTGCCGAGATCCCACCGTACCTTTTAAAAGCTCAACAATAGGATCCCAATACGGATCCAACCAACAAAAAGCATCGGATTTCTCCAAGGTCCTACCCAGTCAGACAAACTACTAAAAAAAACGTGTAAAAACGCGTCGAAATTCTAACGAAAAAAAAATCGTAAAAAGCGCACATTTCTACGCGTTCGTAACGCGTTCAAGTTACTAAACGAACATTACTTCGTTCAAAAAATTAACGCGTTATAAACGCGTAAAAATGTGCGCTTTTTACGATTTTCTTTTCGCTAAAAAGAAAAACGCGTTATTCCGCGTTTTTTCTGTTGTTTATCATACTTGGCCAGTCATCAACAATTCTTCTTCCGTTATGTTCTTCACTGTTCAGATAGCGTGAACTCGAGTGAAACTGATATCAAATAGTGACATTTTTTTCTAACTTACTGCGCTCTCCAAGATTCGATCCTACGATGTTCTGATTGAGAGTCGAATATATTATCCATTCGGCTAGTCTTACGATTGAATGATAGAGTGAAAATACTATTCGAATCGAATAAAATTAGGTGTATAGAGAATGAAATGAATTTTGATAAACTGAGACTTAAATCAACGTTAGCTGCTTTGAGCTTTCATGAGAAAAAATTAAAACAAATATTCATCCGAAAAGTATGCTTATATTTTGTTAGATATTTAAAAAAATATTTTTCATAATTTTTTTCTTATTATTTTAACATAAATTTCTACAAAATTTAAAGCAATATACAAATATGTAAAAAACATATACACATTTTTTCAATGATGCATTTGGAAAAAAAAAATTTCTGAACGTATGTATATTATTTTGAATATTTTTGAGAATATATTTAAAAATATTTGGAATTTTCCCATGCGGATTTATTCAAAAAATTCAGGTTCATCCAAAATATTACATCTTTCTTTATTCAATATCAGGATAATTCTTTGTTCTTAAAATATGTCTATTTTACGATAAATGAACATATTTTATGTTGCAGTAGAAATGAGAATTCTACAGAATTCAAAATTCTGCTATTGATTGATATTAATTTCTACCAATCGGTACATAGCATAAGATCAAAACTCGGCCACCCGATAGATTTCATCCTCAGTGTACTAAAAAGACTGCGGGAAATTTTGCACACTTTTAAACGTGTATTTTTTTTCTGACTACAAAAACTTCTCGTAGATGAAATAATAGTAAAATTTGTACGTAATAAAACCTGTTAAAGAAAAAAAACGTCTTAAATCTCGTGAAATTAAAGTTATTAACGCATAAAAACGCATAAATCAAAAAAATTTCTACGTATTTTAACTCATAAATATGGTAACGCGTTAAAACGCGTTCGAGAAATCGTTAAAACGGCGTTTTAATGATTGGTTACCGTTAAAACAGCGTTAAAACGAAATTTTAAATGGTTTTAACGCGTTATTTTTAAAGGTTTGTCTGACTGGGTAAGAAACCATTTTCGACGCAAAGGTAAAATAACCAACCCCTGTGCGTAGAGTAATAAACCTTTCCGATCAAACAGTAGAACAATCGATCTCTCTACGTAGAATGATAAACCCTTTCGATGAAAGAGCGGAAATATCAACCCCTGTACGATGAACAATTAACTTCTTTCAACAAAAGAGAAGTAGAATCAACTATCAATCTACGATAAAGCTATCCCTTGAGATGCTAAGGTAGATAAGCCGATATTTGTCAGTAGAATAAAAGAACCTGTCAATGAAGAAGCACAGAATCGAGCATTCACGTACAGTACTAAACCCTTTTTATTAAGATGTAGATGAATCAACGGTTGAGCGTGGGATGCTAAACCCTTAGCAGGAAATGGTAGCAGAGTCTACCACCAGGCGTAGAATAATGAACTGTTTCTGAGAAGGGTAGCTTACTCTACCCAGAAAGGCAGAGTGATGTACCCTTTTAACGAAAAAGTAAAATAGTAAACCCAAAAACGAAGAATAAAATACCCCTACCTTCAAAGCGAAAAACAATCTACGATCATCCGTTGAAGGGTATACTCTTGTCTTAAAATCGTAGAATAATGAATCCTTATGTACCCATCATATACCCCTTGAGTTTTCATAAACGCAAAGCGTCATAAATCCTTCGACTAATAAACGCTAAAAGGGTTCATCACATTGGAATAAACCCTTCAAGGGTTTAATGGCGACTTTTTTTAAGTACAGGGGTAGATTATTACCCAGATTGTTTCATCAGTGTTGTTNGTTACAGAGAAATTTAATTATTAATTAATTAATTATTAAATTTCTCTGTAACGGCCTGTGATGGTCTCTGATTCTCTGTAACGGCCTGTGGTGGTTTCTAGAGACCTCATACATCATAATACAGACTGTAGCAGAGAAGTTCCACAGACCACCAGTGACCGTGATAGTCGAATTCCAGAAAAGAAGTTTCATCGTGTTTCACATTTTAATCCCACAGGGACTGCGCTAACACCTTTTTCTGTTGAAAGTTGAAGAATAAAAATTTTAAAAAATTATATTCAACAAGTATAACAGCATCAACTTGCAAGGTGACTTGTACAGTTACACACACGGCGAAACAGAAGCAAAGATGTTTCTGAGTACTTTGAAATGTACTCTTTCTGGTTATGTAGTGCAAAATTCGTTCTTATCAAATTGTAGATCGAAAAATCTGACTTTTTAAAAATTCTCGTCAAAATGGCTAATATCAAATATTTTACGCTAGCTGAATTCAAGAAAAAAAATGAAAACTCAAATTTCAAGGCCGACTTTGATACAGTAGTTCATTTTGATCAAAATGAAAAAAAATCAAGGATGGATGTGGAATCTTTCCAACTATGACCGAAGGATAGAGCTTTTGAAGGGGTACAAAATCCCTACGTTGTTGAATTTTTATCGTCACTGACTAAAGAAAAAATCTGAAAAAACTGATTTACAGCTTTAAAAGTTGATTCTGTTATACTTGTTGAATATTATTTTTTTCCTCAACCTCAACTCACAACAGAAAAAACTTGTAATATTAATCTTGTAGAGAATTGACTGGTGAATCTTTTGGAAAAAAAACTAAAGCCTAGCCAATAAAAAAATGATGAAGTTATTGAAGAAATATTGCCAGGACCATTTATTATGGCCCAATTGTTAATTATATCATCTACAGATAAACATGTCTATAGCCCGAACGGGGAATAGCAGACATTTGCAATTATCGTACTTCTTAGCATTTTCCCTTACTTTGTACTTCTTATATTTATTTCGTCATACTTCTTTATACCCCTGTGATGTTCACTTTTATTAATCTATTTTGCTCGATCTTCAGATCGCTCCCATAATATATTATCATTGAACTCGACACAATTGGTAAGAATCGCATTCAGCGTAATCATTTGCATGTTTCACAATTTGCTCTATAATGTTGAGACATATGAACAATCTCTTAGCTGATAAAGTCATCCAACAATACATTTCATCTGTAGACATCATATGTATTAGTCATTTCTTATACAAAATACGTGGTCTTTCTCCTAGTGTGGTATTAGTAAACTTTCATATGATGCGGTTCCTAAAGAAAGCTGTCGATTATCTTAAAAATTTATAATATCTTGGTTCACAAATCGTTATGGACATGGAATATTTAAAATTTGTTAGTTCATCATTGAGAATGATAATATGATCCCGATATGGCCCATCCTCTCCAGTATCAGTATAGAGCGTTCTTTTGTTAGCTGAGATTTAAAGAACCAAAAAAACCTACTTTCTCAACTCTCTAAATCATTCCTATTACATGATGAAGCAATCTAGGGTATCTTTCCGTGTTCTCCTAATAAACTTTTCTAAGTCTGATCTCAGTGAATTAAGCAAAATATTTAAAAAACAATCTTTCATAAGTGTTTTCTCTTGCATAGCCATTCAAGACCTTGCATCAATATTTCAAAGAAGAAAGAGTGAAATGGATGCAGCCACTTGACCGAGCTCAGCGTGAATTCGTCGAAATCCCTCGGTCAGCTTATATTCGAGAATTGCGTCCTATATGGCTACGTAGCTATCGACCTCCATGGTTTTTCGACTCATGCTGTGATCAACGTCAAGTATTGATATCAGCCGATCTCATGTTTCGGGCTGGAGATTATATATTGCTACCATCCCTTTTGTGGCTTTGTCAAATAGGTCTACAAGAATTGACAAATTTATCCTTGGAAGCATGCATTCAAAAGACAAATGGGTTTCGCTTTAATTTGTGGTACGGTCTGACACATCCTGATTTCATTTCGCTGCCGGTTCTACCTCGATCACCAAATCCCACCATAAATGTATCTGAGTCAAATTCTATGTCACAACATGACATATCGTCTAACGTCTGCTCATCGGATTCATCTAAATCAACATTAACCGAAAAACTCTCGCTGGTCAATACTTCCATCGGAATGAAATTTACTTTTCTGGATTTAGAACGACCCGACATTGAGCACTTGACGCAAGTGGAAAAGTGTGTGTGCGATTGGCTTTCAACAGTCGGTGGCTGGTCATCAAAACCTATGAAATCAATTCAGTCTTTCTTTCATATTCCTCCACCTGACTCACCAAAAAGCACGTTGCATTTACATTTAGTTTCAGGTAGAGAGCTTGATCTGGAAAGGAACCATGTATTTTATCGAATCCCATTATCTGATTTACAAAATGGCAAGCAACCAGCTTTTATTGTTGATCTTACGCGATGGGAGCATGAAAGACGCATGGAACTAGTACAGTTGGCCAGAAGTTTGCATCGCATGCCCCGTGTGTATGGCATCTCGGGTTGTACTTGTACAGGTAAATCTGAGTTGGCCATGGGTTTAAGTGCAAAGTATCCTATGGACGTAATCCACCAAGATGACTTTCATTTACCGGATGCACAACTTCCTCGCTTGTCCGAAGAAGAAACATCACTTCTTCCCAATAAATGGCCACAGAGATCTAATATTGATCGAAGTCATCCTTTAGCTGTTGATTGGCAAGCTTTGCTCAATCATATAGAAGGGTTAAAAGCTAAAACAGAGAAGAAATTTATTTTGGTTGAAGGAAACTTGTTATTGTCGCAAAGTCAAATGCGGAATATGTTAGATCGTGTAGTATTTATCCACGTATCTGAAGACCGAAAAGAAGTTATCATGCAGCGGCGTATGGCACGTGCACGACCAAACAGTTCATCCGAACTAGAGATGAACGTGGCGAAAGAAGAATATTTACCATACTTCAATTCTGTTTGGAGCAAATATCAATTATATGGCCAACCATATTTCCAAGCCTATCAAATAGACTTTGAAAAGTCAACATCAAATGCTATACTAGATCTTCACTCATGGTTTAAAGATAATATCGAAGAAGAACTCACTAAATGTGAACATGAACTCGATTCAGAATTGGGTCATACGCAGGACATGGTGTAGAAAGACATTCACAAATATTGATATCTAACCCAAGACAAATAATCAGATACTAAGATCTGACAAGATTCTGCATCTGATTTGGTAAGATCCGACAAACAATCATACAAAAATCGTAGTCCCTGAAATCTTACATCAACTCATACTATCAGATTCTTGAAAGGTCTTACTGTACCGTGAGATATGACTACAAGATTATAGGAAATCTTACTAAATAGTAAGATTTTTTAAGAGCCTTCATGTAAGAATTAATATAAGATTTCAGATACTAGGATTTTTTGTAAAATCTTATCTGGTGTTGCAAGATCTTAAATCTGATTTTCGAACCTGGGAAAGTAACTCAGAGTGCTAAAACTCCTTTTTTCAAGAATACTATTGTATTTATATTCCCGAAAATATCGACTTTGAAAATCATGAAATACAAAGTATATCGATGCAAAAGAAAACACAGTAGAAGAAGGGTGTGTGGGCTTGGGTGTGCGTCGGGTATTAACGTAGCTTAACGGTGTAACGAACAACTTGATAAGAGTAGCTTGTGCCACTCTCGGCAAAGATGTTTATTAGGCTACTTCAAGTTATCCAGAGTGTAACGACAAAACTAGAGAGTGTCGCCTATGCCCGTCGGCCGCTATGGCTGAATGGTTAAGATGTTCGGCACATATCTACAAGATAGTGTGTTCAAACCTCGGCGCCATCATCCATAGAATAACCGTGGACAAGTTACTAACGGCTGTTTTGTCTCGGANTCGGCAAAGATGTTTATTAGGCTACTTCAAGTTATCCAGAGTGTAACGACAAAACTAGAGAGTGTCGCCTATGCCCGTCGGCATGATGGTGTATTGTGTCATCTGACATCTCCAGAGTGTAACAACTTCATACATAACGCACGTATATATAGGAGAGAGATAGAAGAGAGATACATTAGAACAATGGAAAGAGAACAGAAAGAGAAGGAAGGAGAATCATCGAAGCGTGCCATCAATATCGGCACAAACGGTAACGAGAAGATTGAAATCCAAACGCACACCTTCATTTCTTTTCTTTATTTTTTATTTGCTCAGAAACAAGAAAAACGTTATGAGCAAAAGGATCTATCAAAAAAGAACCTTGACAAATCAGTAATAGATAGGCATCCATCAATAAAATTCATTAAGAACAACACAGCAGAATCAAATGAATGACAAGATCTATTTTCATTATTCGTTTATAAATGATGATCAAAAACAGGAGTATCTTCTGAAGAATCTAGATGTGCAGATTCTAAACAGGTAAGTTTCAATGTCAAAAAGTAAAGATTATTTTATATATTGTTTTTATTTCAATAATAACAGATCATGTATTAGTAAGCAATGAAATTTATCTAATTTAAAATCATTTTTTCTACTTACATAGATCTTTAGTTTTCATAATGAATAGCGACTATGATTTTATCACAGAAAAGCTTTTTGATTCTATTTTGTCATGTGATTATCAAAAGTGAGCACGATTCTTTTTCAATTTAGACAAAAAACATTCTTTTCTTCAACTCATACAATTCAATCAATAGCAAGTTATATCTGCGTTAATTAATGTTTTTCTATATAGATCATATGATGTTTGAGATGGAAAAAGTAATATCTTCCATAAAAAAAAAATTGTGCCATTTAGATCATATTATATTAGTGAAAAGTAATTCGATTGGACTTTCTTTCTACTTTTATTTAGATTATTTGATGACAGAAAAAAGAAAATACTGTTTCATTTCAAGACTTTTTTAGTATCCAACAACGCGAAGCCGAAAACAAAACAAGCCAATTCAATTTTTATGATGGTATGGAACTGAACCGAGTGGAAATTGTTTCCTAAAAGAGTCTTTGAAACAAATGAGATTTAACTAGTATTTGAACAATGAATGGATGTAGATTAGCACAAAAGCAAAATGAAATCTCTCTATACTATCAGCATTTTCATGTCATTGAAATGCTATGAAAGAGTACAAGGCAATGCTTCATCGACCGTTCTATATTGAAGACTAGGGATCAGGAATTTACATTACAGTAGCATCAAATTTGTCAATGGAAAAATTTTTCTACAAAGTAAAATTTTGAATTAAAACTGAATCTGCCTTACTTATTAAAAACAGAGTGGATTTCAAATAATCTGAATATAAATATGTTCAGCACGAATTTTTCATGTGATTTCAACTCGAAACAGTCTAGTATAATGTGCACTATATTGGTGGTACTTCAATGGTAGTTTTTTTGAATGTGTAGTCTTTTAACCTTGGAAATAATACACCATACTTTTAGTTTTGTTAGAAATGGCTACATCTCATTCGGAAATAGTTGTAAATACATAAACATACAAAATAAAAGATTTTTTCTGAAAATAGTTTCTTATTAAATTTGGGTGTGGGGTGTCGGTGTTTCAAATAACTATACCCACACCCACACCCCAGTTCGTTGATGAACAAGTTATCAACTATCATGAGTTGTCTGATCGATTAGGTCAATTAAACGAAATAAACGAATGGATCAATTGGATCGAGTATATAAAGAATGTTTCATCATACTGATTCACTTCATCTTTACTCGCGCGATAAAAGAGAAATTCGAAAGGCCTAGCATTAAAATATACTTTTTGTCCCATTATTATTTCTTTTTTCTTCTTGAAATTATTTTTCTCTTATTACCTCTATTATTTTCTTCTATTTTTCGTCTTTTTCGCTTTTCTTTTTTGTTAACTATTAATAATAATAAAACAATAAGAAGTATTATAACAAAATTAAAAAAATCAGTATATTTGCTCATCTTTATTAATATATCTCAATATATTATCTGTTGACGTGACAAATTTTAAGTCTTTGATTTGCTTCATCATTGAAGCATAGAGCAAGCAAAAGCCTGTTGAATTGCGGGTAGATAATTGCGACGCCTACTGTATATGATCTAGAATCATCGAACGTATTAAAATCGACTCGATTTAATCCATAATTCAATAATAAAAAATATATTATTAATGGCTGCCTAAATATTTCATTGGATCAAATAACTGTGGCATTAATTGAAATTCGGAGACTAAGCTCTGCATCAGCATTCGTCTCAAATTCCCTAGGGTTCGAAATGAAATATTTTATTGAAAACAATGACAGGACCTGTATAAATAGTATCTATCCTGCAGATTTTCAGTCATTTCTTTGATAAATTTCGACGTTAATTTTCCAGAAATGTATCAAATTGCTCTTCTAATGCTTGTTTTCGTACCTTTGACTTCGTCACTAGCTATATACGATCAGTGCGGTGGTGAGGGTTATAGAGGATCCACTTATTGTAATTGGCCACTGCAATGTTTTCAACGTTCGCGTTGGTATTCATCGTGCCAAATGTCATGCCCAGGAGGAGATTGGGAATGCGCTAGAACTGGTGGCTCTAATGGTCGTGGTGCTCTAGCATGGGAACAATGCGGTGGCGATGGTTGGAATGGTCCGCGATGGTGTACTGAATATCCATGCAGAGCTCGATCTGTCTGGTACTCTCAGTGCCGACCAGATTGTCCTGATGGATGGCTTTGCACAGGAAAGCCAACATCGATTGCTCCCGTTATCTCCACTATTGGGTCGACATCATCGATGCCGATTATTACTGGGTCGACATCAACAATGCCGATTATTACTGGGTCGACATCAACAATACCGATTATTACTGGATCAACAACATCATCGATGCCAATTATTACCGGATCGACATCATCAATGCCGATTATTACTGGATCAACAACATCATCGATGCCAATTATTACCGGATCAAAAACTAGCACGCCGAGCACTACAGAAACAACATTCACCATGCCAACTATCACATTAGAACCATAAAATATTTGAATCACAACGAATAATCTCTTGAATCCAGAGAGCAATAAAATTCTAATTGGTTGAAAAATAAAAGATTGAAACAAAAGCATAACCTATACAACTGTTTATCGAATATATGTATGAAAGTAGTACAGGATGAGATATTGTTGCATTGCTCTTAACAAAGAATTTATTTTAATATCGAAATTATAGCTTTTTGGTATAGAAAAACTATGTACATACAATATTGAATCAATCAATCATTAGTATTGAACGGATCTGCCTTTTCTTGTCTCAACTCGATATAATAAACTAGTAAGAATATCAAATATTTGGATAAGATTGTCAGTACAATGGTAATACCGAGTATTAATAGGATGTTGCATAATTTTTTCCAAATATTGGTTTCTTTCACACTATTCATTCGTTCTGCATAAATTTATGATGATTTATGTATATTCAGTTATTCATTCTGTTATAATAATTGCTGACACAAGAAATAGAATACGTTTGAAATTCTATCTATTATTTGTTGGTTTACCATAGGAGTGGGTGTACATTGTATAAATCAATTTCATGTAATAAACATTTTTACAAAATTTAATTCTAATGCTAGAATTTGACTACTGACTAATTGATCAATAATAGCCTGTATTTTCATCGAAATCGCTTCTAGAACAGCCCTGTCACATAACTAAATGTTACAGTTGATAGTACACCAACTAAAACAAATTAAAAAAAAAAGAAGTATATGCTATTACTATTTTCTCAAGTTCATTGAGAATAAACGTAACACTGCTGACATATATAAAGACTAATTGTATCTATACTATGTAGTTGTATGACTATGGTGAACTTTTGACAAAAATTTCTTCTATGCAAATAACAGGAGGGTGAAGTAAAAAATCAAGTTGACAATTATTTGAAACTGTTGACACGCAATAAATAATTCACCAAATAGTAAATATTTTTCGGCTATACTCTATTTTATTTCTCGACAGTTGGATCAAGATAAACTTCAGCAATACTAGATTCGGCTCATGATCGTGTTACACTACTATCATCACATTGATCTCTTATAAGTTTCATTTGTATTATTAAACCATATGTAATACTAATTCTGTCTGTTATCATTTTTTGTTAGTTTTGTATAGGTTATCATGTATTATCAATGATGACTAATATTTTTTTTTTAATCTAACGAAAACAAAATTCTTAACGAAGTTGTTTTCAAGTCTATTAGAAATCTTATAGATTCACTATTTTCGGCGTTTTCTACTGAGAAAAACTGAAAAAGATTTCATAAATGCAACAATTTCCGTTGATCGTCTCTTGGAATTTTGCTACTATGATATTAGCTTAGATTTTTTAATTTTGTTTTTTTGGATTCATTATAAAATTATTATTCGAAAAATAATATTTGCTTTTGCTTTCGCTTTTCAAATGTTGAGTTTATCATTGACGTAAGGTCAAAAGGCCTAGGAAGTCAATTTTCAGCGCGTATGCAACATCAATTTAGTTTGAAATGATGCATACTTTATTATGGATTCAATTTTATCGATAAAATACATCTATCATCATAATCATATTTAACGCAATTCAATAAGATATTGACCTTGCATCGCATCATCCCACATATACGAACTAGTCATTTTATAATATAATATATATATATATATATATATATGTTCTGTTGCATTGTTAAAAAGATAATATTTATCTACCTACTCGAGTCGACGAGGCGTTCTTTTTCTTTCGTTAGTCACTACCCTTTCTAAAAACCGTTGCTTCGTTCGTTTCATTGTTTTTATTCGTCCATGCATACTGTTTTGTGCATTGAATCAATTGTCCAAATATGTTTTTCAACAGCATATCAATGTATTCAATACCGTTCATTGGAATTATATTAGTTATTGCGGTTTTAAGTCTTTCAAATACTCGAAATATGTTTACACATCAATTACATACAAAACGAAAAAAACGCTATTCAATTAGTTATGATAGAAATGATGTTAAAAATCCGTGTATAAAAATTCAAATGCATCCATTTTCACATTTAGATACTAATAAATATATTCGAAATGAAACAACAATACCCTTACAAGACGATGAAGAATTAATTAAATCCGAAATCTTAATAGAATTTTCGGACAATGATATAATTGAATTACGTTTAGAACAAGATTTTGATTCTGACAACGATGGAGATTATGAAAATGACAATTGAAAGGCTTTCTTTATTATTACTTAAATATAAAAAAAAAACAGCTTCTATTAATAAAAATATTAAATAATCTCTTTTTATTCATCTTTTTCATGTTTATGTTCAAATTCATTTAATGTTTCAATTGGGTTTTCTTGCATTTGTATAGCTTCGATTGATTCATTATCATTTGCTGTTATTTCGCGTGATCCAATTAATTCAGTTTCATAACGTAATAGTTGTAATAAAAATCCTTCATTCGGCCATATTTGTGGACGTTTTTCAATAAGAAAAAAAAAAGCTTCTTTCAATGTGTTATGATGATATTTCATTAAATAAGCAAGAACAATGGTTGCTGATCGAGATATACCTTGAGGGAAAATTTCAAAGTCAACATTTTTTCTACTACAAATTATTGATTCTTACCAGCAGCACAATGTACTAAACAACATTCCTTTTTCTCATAAATTCCATGTAATAATTCATTTGTTCGATCGAAATGCTAAAAAAAATAAAAAAGAGATATTTGCTTTCTTTTGGATTGAGAATAAATATATAGATTTTGTGAAACTCAATCTAAAAGGAGTGCTGAAATGTATGTATAGGGTAAAAAATTGCACTCGGGGGGGGGGGGGGGGGGGGGGGGGGGGGGGGGGGGGGGGGGGGGGGGGGGGGGGGGGGGGGGGGGGGGGGGGGG